CCGTGTTCCCCCTAGATTATTATCCCTCCACACACACCCACCTTCGTAGAGGTTCCACTTCTGGACTCGCTCCTTGCAAATTCTTTTTCGTCTTCAAATATATAACTTGATTTCTTTTTTTGGGTTCCTGGCCTACTCCTTTTCCCTTGGACCCCTTCCTTCTCTTGACAAGGCTGGAGCAGTGCCCTGATTTGGGAGTAGGATCTCTAACAAGGCTCTTGGGGGCCTGCTTGGACTGGCGTTCTGGGGAACACAAGTCTCCATCCCTGCCCCCCACTTGAGCATTCAGAGGGGCCTGAGAGTCAGACCGGATGAGGTGTGGGCCTGGGCCAGATATAGGTCCAGCAAAGCTGGCTCCCAGGCTGAAAGAAAGTAGCTTGGGGGCCTTGGATTTCATGACTATTCTGCCCCTCCCCTTAGTCTGGGCTGGAGTGAACCAGGATCAGGCTGGTTCTCAGCTGATGGAATTGCTGCCTTTTTTTGGGGGAGAGGAGAGATGGGTTGGGGATTGTCTGGCAACTTTGTTCTGATGAGAACTTGGCTGAAAGGGTAGAGTGGCTCCTTGCTGAGCCACACTTGTTCTTTCTCTGCCCTACTTCAGGAAGCCTTTTGAGGATAAATGTGGAGGGAGAGAGCTTGGTAAGAGAAAGGGAATTTGGACCTAAATTGGAGAAGAAGTGGCTGAGGGAGCTGAAAGCCTCCCAAAGGCCTTTCCCACCTTTTCCATTAGGGCACTTTTAACCCCTGCCAAACTGTATACTGCTCTCTGGAGCAGACACACTGGCAGACAGACAGACTGTGGGAAGGTGGGGGAGATCTGCTGTTGGAAATACTTCCTGTGGAAGGAATGGGAGAGTGGGAGTTTGTTCAGCAGGACTGGGCTGGGCAGTGCTGGTGGCTCAGTCATCCTGGCGTTGCTTCTCTGAAGGTCAAGCCTTCCTCTGGCTCCCAAGGGGAGGCAAGGACAGGTGGCTTCTGCTGGAGAACGGGCTGTTGAAGAGATGCCGGGACGTGAGGGATGACCCTCTGCCTCCTGGCTTCTCAGTCTTTGATATTTTTGGGTGGGGCCTAGTTCTAAATAGTGGGGGTTCTTGAGGATGGCCCTAATGGGTTAGGACTTGGGGAGCTGGCAGGGCCTGGGGGTGCTGCTTGGCCTAGCCTAAACCTCACCTGCAGGAATCGGAGGGAAGAAATCAGCCTGGTTCCTGATATGTCATCTGAGAACAGAGATGATTCTGGATTTTCACACAGGGACACTGAGACACAGGATGATGGGCTACAACGTCATCTCTTTGTCCCTTGATTGATTGATTGATTGAGTCATTCAACTACCCTTTAGTAAGTGCATGAATGTCCTGGACCAGGAATGGTGCTGTGAAAACAGAGATGATAAAACTATAATCCTTGGCCTCCTCAGAACTGCAGTCTGGGAGGAGAAGCAAACAGGAACACACATAAATTCTGATACAGTGTAATAATAGAGATATTACATACATAGGCCAGAGTTATAGAGGGATTCATTCTGAATATGCAGAGTGATCCAAGTAGGCTTCTTAGGAGAGAAAGCAGTAGCAGAATCAGTGACAGGAAGTCTGGAGGCCCAGGTCTGGTCCTGGCTCTGCCATAGGTAAGTAACTGCACTGTCCGTGTAGGTGTCCCCATCCTTGCTGAGGAGGGTGGGGCAGGATTAGAGGTTGGCTTAGATGGCCTCCGTGCCTTTATAGTTCTGCATACTTTACTGCCTACTTGCTAGCACCCTGGGTGGAATTGCTGGATTATTGACCTGTCTCGCCATGAGAGCAGAGACTGTCTTCCACTTCTGTGCTTCCAGCCCAGAGCCTGGAATTGAGGAGGTGTAATAAATGCTCAGTGGCATCAATGATTGAAAGACTCCACCGTACCTCTGAGATCTGTTTAGGTCCCTTTGTCTGGGGAACCGCCTCCCCTTGGCCTGGCTAACTCCTGCTTATCCTTTTGTGCCCTGCTCCCAGTGCCTGGCTCATTTAGATGCGCTTTCTTTGCTCCCACAGCTCCCTATGTTACCTAGTGTAGTTCAGTCACACTTCTCTCCCCACCCTGTCGATTCACGCTTGCATCCCCATTTCTGAGCAGAATGGCTGGCCTGTAGTAGATGTTCACTAAATGCTTTGCCTAGACCCAGACCATCCTGCTAATGTTCATCTCTTGCCATGTCCTGCCTCTGGCCCTAGATCTAGACAGTCTGAACCACTCAGCATTCTCTGGATGCTGTGTTCTTTCCCCTCCAGACAATCATGTGCTGTTCCTTCTGCCTAGAATGCTTTTCTCCAACCCTTATTCTCCCTCAGAAGTCAACTCGGGCAACACTTCTTCCAGGAAGCCTTCCCTTACTCCACTAGTCTGGATCTGGTTCTTCTCTGTTCCCATAGCTCCTGAATTCCCCCTAGCAGAGTCCTAGGCTCTCAAGATTATAATTGTTGACTTGGCATTTCCCCAGTAGACTGAGCTCTGAAAGGCAGGCACCCTATGAGATTCTCTCCTGTTACTTCAGAGTCCAGCCCAGGGCCTGGCACCAACCAGGCACTCAGAAAATGTTGGCAGCATGGCAGGTAAATCTAAAGTAGTCACATACATCTCGGCTGACAGTGGCTCTCGTTTCCTCATAGGGAGGCAGCTTCCATGGAGCGAGGGGAATGCCAGGACCTTGCCCAGACAGACGTGGGCCTGCCTCAGCACCACCAGCCAACGTGCAGATAGCAGAGCTGTCCGCAGGGTAAGGACTGTGCCTCTCCCCACCAGGCCAGCCATGACTTCTCATCAGGTGCCTTCCCCAGTCTGGGGAGTAAAGGGTAGCATCTCCATCTCTGCAACCCTTTGCTCTTCTCATTCTAGGCCAGGAGATCCAGGACAGGTGATAGAAGAAGAGTGTCTCCTCTTTCTCCCGACTCAGTGGCCAGCTGAGTAATACTAGGTTTCCATTCTTTTGGAACATCACTGTTAAGTTTCTTGTAAATCTTTGTTTTTTCTCCCTCACCCCAGATCTTAGCAGATTGGCTTGCTAATATGCTGCCTTGTGACCACATGTCCCAAGGTATATTCCATGGAACACCACTTTCTTTGGCCACAGTGGTGACATCACTCCAGGAAACAGCAACTTCTTGTTTTCCTTACTGCAGGACTTGTCAGGCCTTGAATGTGTTGAGAGGAGCATAGTGTGTCTCAGAGGGGGAGCTAGCAGTACAAGTTTCCCCACATTTATTTGATCACGTAGACATCTTTGGAAACTTGAGTTCCTTGGCCCATACTTTGGAAAATGGTGCCAAAGGCAGGAGAGTGCACTAGGTGTGCTGTAGTCAGTCCTGGGTTTGAGTCCCAGCTGTTAGGATCTTGCTGAGTGATTGTGGGAAAGTCATTGTACCTGTCTGAGCCTCACTTTCCTCATTTATTAAAAAAAAGAGAGGGGTAATGTTAGTGTATACTTCCCTTTAGACTGTTTTGAGGATTAAATACATTGACATAGGTAAGGCACTTAGCAGAGTATGTGTCCTGGAAAGTGTTCCCTAATCAAGGCTGTTGTGTGTATGGACTGCTTTATAATTTGCAAAGCACTCAGTGATCTCATTTGACTGTTTGGGGTAGCCTGGGTAGTAGCCATTATCCCCTGTTTACAGATGCAGAAACTGAGGCTCAGAGTAAGGAAGCAACTTGCTCAGAGTCATCAGGAACGAAGGCAGGGACATGGGACTTGAACCCAGATTCCTGGAATCCTGGATCAGGACCCATTGTTTTCTACCTGAAACTTCCCTGTACTCTCTCCCACCTCAGTTTTTTTGTGAAAGAATGGCCGAGCCTTCCCAGCCTGGATTTTTAAAGAAATAATAATCTCATTTTGGGGGTAGTTGATAACATAGCTGCATGTTCAGTCTATGTTTTATAATGTTTGTGTTTTTAATATTACAAAGTAAAAGTCTCTCATGGTCCTAGCTCCAGAGGTGATCACTATGAATGGAGAGAGACATAGTCTTTCACATCTATTACTGCTATTTGCTTGCTTTCACATAAATTGGGTCATATGAGAACTACTGAGTTGCAGCTTGCTTTTGTTGCATTTGCTGGAACCCTGTTGTTCCCAGGCAAGAGGTAGGTCTGTGGTGAGTCTGATCAGTTGGTGCTTCTCTTGCTTCCTTCCACTGCCCCTCTGCCCATGCTCCCCTCTGTCACTGTCCTGGGGTCCTCTGTGCTGTCTGGGCATTTATAGCCGCAGGAGAGGTGGGAAGCTGCGGGCATGTGATTTGGTGATTTTCTTGTTTATTGGGAGAAGGTCAGTAAACCTAGACCCTGCTCTGTGGGAGTTTCCTGTTGACTTTGAGGAACTTTGCACCCCCAGAGGGAGGAGGCCTGAGCCCAGTCACTCTTGCTAGGCAGTGATGAGCAGGCAATGGCAGATCCTGTTTATCTGAGATCAGAATTCCTCCTCTGTGCCAGGGATGGCTTAGAGGCAACAGCATAGGCCAGCCTAAGAGGTTTTGGCCTCCTGTGGGCACATGCACACACACACACACACACACAGAGTATTAGGTTTGCCTGAGTCTAGTCCTTCTTGGCCCTTCAGGAACAGGATGGCCCTGACTTGGCTTGTCCTTGCAGTACCTGGAGCAAGCCTTGGTCTTTTTTTTAAAATTTTTATTGTGATTTAGGTGAAAGTGTACAGAGCAAATTCATACAGCAGTTCAGGAGCTCTGGTGGCATAGTGCCTGAGGCATTTGACTGGTAACCAGAAGGCTGGCAGTTCAAACCCACCAGCCACTCCTATGAAGGAAGGTTGGACAATCTAGTTCTGTAGTGATACCGCCTCGGAAACCCAGGAGGAATGGCTCTGAGTCGAGTCCTCCAACTCCACGCATTGTGTTTGGTTTTTGGTTTTTACAGCAGTTTGTATACATTTTGTTTCATGGTGTTAACTGCATTTCCCCACAGTGTAACAGCTCACTTCCCACTTCTCATTTCCTCCCTATCCTTACTTCTTTCATTTGCATCTTGGCCCCACCCCCCAGCTATCTCTCTGTCCAAACACCGCCATTCTGTTCTCCCATGATTGATCAAGCAGTGTATCTTTCTGATGTAAATGTTTATCCTATGTGCCTGTCTGTTGTTTGGCTGGAAGCCACAGGAGTGAGTTCAGCTCCAGATCCAAAGGATAACTAGGGGCCATAGTCTCAGGAGTTTCACCAGGCTCCATCAGACCAGTAAACCTGGTCTTTTTTTTTTACGAATTTGAGTTTTGTTCCACATTGTTCTCTCACTCTATCTGTGATCTCCTGCACTGATCTCATTACAAGTGGTTGACAGTGGTAGCCAGGCACCGTCTAGTTCTGCTCTCATAGTCATATAGGCTGAAGATCACACAGTCTGCTAGTCCCTTGGACTAATCGTTTCCATGTGTCTTTGGTTTTCTTTATTCTTCTTTGCTCTGGTCGAGGGGACACCTATTGTTGCATCTAGATGGTCACTTGCAAGCTTTTAAAATACCAGTCGTTAGTCACCAAAGTAGGATGTAGAGCAATGTTTTTGTGTAGTATGTTATGCCAATTAAGCTTGATATCCCCTATGACCATGGTCCTGAGCCCACAGGTCCAACTACTCGAGGAAGCCTTGGTCTTGATCTCCTTGGGATGCTTCTTTCAAATATTTGTCCTGAGGGTGGGTGGGCAGGGAGAAGGGAAAGGCCCACCCCGTGACCTTGGTCTGAAGTTGCTCTTTGGGAACATCCAGACGATCTCTGGATGGGTTTCGGCAAGGAGAGATTTCTGGCCTGGGCAGCCTCGTTTTGTGGAGCCAGGAGAGTGTTGGGTGGCAGGATCCAGGCTGGGAACAAGGTCTTTGCCGGAGCTCCTTCTGTCGTGCCTTGCTGGGCAGTTTTCTCAGGCTCAGTCTCCTTCTGCTGCTCCCACTTTTCTTCCTCCCATTCTTTTCCTGGAGTCTTTTTTCCTTCTCACAGGGGTTGCCTCTGTCCAGATGGTATTTTGCTTCTCCAGCCCCTTTCTGGAACCACCAGGTCCCATAGTCTCCTAGAGTGGCTGCACTCCGAGCGCTAGGGCTGCATGGATCCCTGTGTGCGTTCACTCATTTTGGCTACAGCCTCAGATGAGAGAGAGTTTTGTTATTTGACTGAGGAGGCCAAGGTTCAGAGGGTCCAAGTCTCTTGCCCAAAGTTGTACCACCTCTAGGTGGCAGGGCCAGGACTCCAGCTCAGGTCTCTTTGCCTTGGCACCCTGTGTTCTTCCCACCTCACCTTCCATTGCCTGTTTCTTTTTCTCAAGGTTCTCAGGGCTGGGGAGCTTCAGAGAGTCACCTGGGGAGCTTGTTTAAAATACTATTTCCCCTGGTTTCTACCACTGTTTAGGGGCTGGGCTCCATCAGACTCTGCACTTTGAAGAAGCCCCCAAGCTGTTCTGAGGCTGGTGGTCTGCTGACCTCTCTAAGAAGCACTGCCCAGGGGAGATTCTTTCAGTCCTGGTCCCCACCTGAAGGATTCCATGGCTTCCAGAACTGGCACCTGTGGTCTGAAGAGGGGCAGGGCTCCACCCCTAGGACCAGAGATTGCATGTCTGTTTTTTAGCAACCTGTGTGTGTGTGTGTGTGTGTGTGTGTGTGTGTGTGTGGTGGGGCTGGGCTGGGGTGATCCTCAACCTTTCCTTCTCAAGGATGTGTGGGGCTGAGAGTTCGAGGGCTTTTACTCCCAGCCATAGTCATTCCCTTCTCTCGGATGTCTTTCCTTTATGTGTTTCTACTGCATCTCCTGCCTCATAGCAAGTTCATCTATGTTTAAACATCTCTTGAGGGCTTTAAACCTCAAAATTAAATAGACTGCTGCAATATAGCCTCACGCCTAGAGCAGTGTTCCACTAGAGGGAAAAGTGGCTGTAAAATTCCACATCTTTCACATGCCACCTGGACACCGTCAGAGGTGCTGCTGCCAAACCCGCACCCTCTGACGGAGTTGGCCTGATGAATGTGCTGACCGGCAGTGGGGGTGGACCATTGCCTCCCTCAGCTGGCTCCCTGTTTCAGGGCCCTGGGGACAGCCCGCCTCCAGCCCAGAATGAGGCAGTAGGCAGCTTAGGCCCCCTTAGCCCTTTTCCTTACCTGGCTGGGCCTGGCCAGAACCCAGTCCCCTGGGATCTCATGGAGGTGTCTGCAGCCTCTCTTGACTGTTCATGCCCCTGTTTCTCAACCTGTCTTGGAAGAGCTGGAGTTCAGAGCAGATCAAGACCTGCCACCACCCCAGGTCCCTACCCCCACTGGCACACACTCAATACCTGCCTTCTGGGCATAGACTCAAAAGCTGTGCTCTCTTTCCAAATTTTCTTAAAGCTGTGCCTGAGAGACAAGAGCTATCTGAGCAGGGCCTGCAGAGACCGTGTTTCCCTGCACTCGCAAGCAAAGGGGTGTCTTGGTTTGGGAAACATCTCTAGGGGTCTGGGTACCCAGGTAAGCCCAGGAAACGTGCTTGGTTTCAAGGCAGTGGCACAAGGGAAAGGAGATACTTGGCATAGATCTTCTCTACCATCTTCCAGCTGTGCAGCTGTGTGCAGGTCACTTAATTTCTCTATGCCTCAGATTTAACACCTTTAAAGAGACTGATAAAACCTACCGTTACTGTAACAGCAGCTGATATTGCAGAGTCTTACTATGCAGCAGGCGCTGTTCCAGGAGTTTTATGTGGTCTGTCTTATTCAGTCCTCACCACAATCCTCTGAGGAACAGACTCAT